TGACTGACCCCTACTGGGGGCCTGGAGGATATTCAGAGAGGTGGCTGAATAAAGCCTGCCATCCTCCCGCCTGCTGGTATTCCTTAGAGGTCTCCCATCCAAGTATTAACCACAGTCAACCCTGTTTAGCTTCCGAGATCTGACGAGATCAGGCTTGCCTGGGCTAGCTGGGTCAGGGCGACCTATTATTGTCATTCTTTTCCTTGCCAAGTAAATACAGGTGCCTCCTACATTACAAATCATCAGTAGGACAGGTCATTTCCAGTTTCATCTGACACTGTACTGGCTTCAGGTATAGAGGGTTCAGTCATCCCCATGTTCTGTCTGCACCAGTTTCTCTTTCTTTAGAACAAGGTAACAAGCCATGTCTTTATTTCCCCTGCCTCCCCTGTTAATTCATTAAGGCTGAGATTTACTGTGTGAATATGATGCAATTGATTATAAACTGTAAAAAATTCCATCGATGTAATTTCGCCACTGTCTGATTTTTTTTCTTTCCCCCCCTTTTCCTTTTTTTGAGGCTTCAGAGGAACCTGCAAAGGATCTTCTGAATACCTTGCCTGCCCCCTTACAGGCTTCCAAACTTCATAATGTCAGAAGCTTGTGTGAAGCCAACTCTGTTAAAATTATAATTTGGCCCAATGTGAATGTCCCCAAAATTGCCCAATACTCTTTATCAAAAGAACAGATTGAAGGAATCACCCTGGTCATAGTGCTGTTATAACAGGGAATACTGATTGACCTACTTCATGTGTCTGCCTATAATATTCCTATCCCCCCCCACACACACACCTTTGCTCCTGCACTTCTCTGTCACACCACCTTCAATTGATCTCTCTGAACTGCAACAGCAATCTCCCACCTGAGAAAAAGAGTTGTGGGCCCATGTTGGCACGACTCTACATTCCTTTTCCAATCATGCTGTCTTGTATCTATTCACCGATGGGCATGCAGTCTGCCCCAAAAGGTGGGGGGTAGCTAGTCAAATGTTGAAATCATGATCAAAATATGCACCAACCCCCACACAACCTCTCAATGAACATCCATGGGTTTATGTTCCATCTCAAGATTGGCATTGGGATGGCCATCATATAGAGGGTCTACACCAGCTAACACCTTTTGAAATCCTGTCTGGACTAAAGCCTTCACCTAGTTTTCAACTGACATGACTAAATATGGGTTACAACTGAGTGGAGTATTGAAAGTTTTGTACAATTAGGTTTTACAATCTCAGACTGGTTCCACAGACATCACATGCTACGACAGGTGCCTCCTACATTACAATTCATCAGCAGGAGGCGTCATTTCCTATTTCATCTGATGCTGTACTACGTCTGGGTTAAGGTCTACAAAGAGAAAGCGGCCTTGGAGCCCAAGTGGGAAGATCCATACCAGGTCCTGCCAACACAGCAATCCGAGTGGCAGAAAGAAGTTCCTGGACCCATGCACATAAGGCACCTGGTACAGAATCAGAAGACCAACACCCAAGGTGAATGCAGGAGTGGGAAGCTACAGCAAGGGACATAAGAGCAACCTGATCCAGAGGGCCTCCCAGCCCTTCAGTCTGGACCTTGTCCTGGGGGAAGGGGACAAGGAACTCAACAATCCTAGAATCTTCCTTGGACTACGTGGGTTCCTGTTCCTGATAACCAGAAGTGGCAAGTCAAGGACTTCATGTGCATCACCCTGAAACCCATTATAAAAGACTGACCCAGAGACTCAGGAGATTTGTGCTCACCTGCAGTTTCTTCCTATTTGCTGTCTCCCTGTTCTGTGTGAACCCTACGCCAACATTATTACACACAAACCCCAGCCAGTACATGAAGACTATTAGGCCCCACTGGTGGACCTCCTGATGGCACTGGTATTTCTGGCCACTGTGTGATACAGAGTGTTGGACTGGATGGGCCTTTGGCCTGATCCAACATTGGCATCTCTTATGTTCTCTTATGTTCTTATGGTAAATTGCCTTGCACTTCCATGTAGATATAGAGCCCCTTTCCCCATAGTTACTTACAACACAATCCGTTGACTTCAGTGGACTCTGAAGGCTGTAACTCTGTTTAACATTGTACTGTTCATGTGATCTTCCTTATGTGAGTGAATGTTCTACTTTTCTGTAATTATTACATCTCTAAGTAGTCAAATTATTTCTTGTTTAAGAAGATTAATCTTTTAATCTGAAGAAGTGTGCAGTGGCTCACGAAAGCTCATCCCCTGCCACAGATTTTGTTAGTCTTTAAGGTGCTACTGGACTCTTGCTTTTTTCTACTGCTACAGACAGACTAACACGGCTGCCCATCTTCATCAATCTTTTAAAATTCTTGTAAGTCATTATAAATGCACATGGGCTAAATGGAGCCTATTCAGGTGAATTGTGATAATCCTCAGGAGAGCTCTGTCTTTACCTGCCTTTGCTACTGGCAGTGGGTTTATCTATTACTAGTGGACTTCTGGCATCGTTCTTGATTTCTTGGATGACCAAGAACATAGTACATGTATCTGATGGAACTGTAGATAGGGAGACTGCGAACAGAATATTGATCTGAGGCTGAGACTCCCAGTACTAATCCCCGCTGGGGAATCACAGGGACAGCACGTGTAGAACAATCCTCATGGAAGAATGTTGTTGTGTGGAGGATTTTTGCACAGCACTTCCTGTTTACAGGTGCTGATTCTTACATTTCAGATGTAGAGCATAAGCACACAGTCAGCATGCATGGAGTTCTCCAGTATGAGAAGGTCTAGAGACATAGGATCATTCCTCCCTCTAAGCTGTGAAGTCTTGTGAGCAGAAATTCTGCTTTGTGAGCTACTGGTATTAAAGTTGTAAGTGAGCGATTTGGCTACTGCATAAATTATTTTTCTCTGGAGCCATCCTTCCTGAGCTAAGACAAAAATGTGTTAGCTGGAGGCTAAAAAAACTGTGAGCCAGCTTACACTAGCTCAGCTTAGGGGGAACACTGCGTAGGATCACTGCAAGCATTATAAATTTCTTACACTGTCAGTATCCCTTTCTACTTGCATTCTGAAGAAAACACATCAAAGCAGCGGCCAATAAAAGGTCCACAGAAGTGTGTCTCTGCCATGTGCAGTTGGAAAGTCTGAGATGCATGAATGGTTTCTGGAGCTTAACCAGTAGCTGTTCAGACTCACTTCTGTTCCATGATGGGTTAGGTTACTAAGATGTACATCTGTGGCTATTTTATAGCTACTTCCGTGTGTTTTTACAGCATTCGTGGAGAAAAATAACTTAAGATACTGACTCTTTCATTTCCTCAATAACTTGATTCTGCAACAGAACAAATTTAGAGTCCAGTGGCACCTTTAAGACCAACAGAGTTCTATTCAAGGTATGAGCTTTTGTGTGCACACACACTTTCCCCAAATATACTGGAATGGAAGGTAAGGTTCAAACTTATAGATGGGCTGAACAGCAAATTAGTATGTAACATGAAGAAGATATGTTACATGTTAATCTGCTGCTTAGCCTAGGCTTACCAAGTCCCCCCGGGGGGCAGGGAAACCCCTGCCCCAGAGGCCCGTTCCCCGCCGCCGGCGGATCGGGCCCCAGGGGGAACCCCACCCCCAAAGTACGCGATGTGCACGTCACCCGGAAGTGAAGTGACCACGCCGGGAACGCTGGGGGCGGGGCCACGGTCATCCGAGGGAAAACACTGTGGTTTTCCCTTGGATGGTCGTGGCCCCACCCCCAGCATGCCCGGCGTGGTCGCATCACTTCCGGGTGACGGGGTTGTGGTGTGTGTGCGCGCAAGCTCCAGGAATAAGCCGGGAGCCCCCCGCTCCAGCAGCAGGTAAGACTTGGCAACCCTAGCTTAGCCCCTATCTTTAACTTTGAACCTTACCTTCCATTCTAGTGTATTTGGGAAAAGTGTGCTTTGCACAGGAAAGCTCATACCTTGAATAAAGGTGCCACTGGATTCTAAATTTGTTCTACTGCTTCAGACCAACACGGCTGACCGCTTGGATCTTATCTTGATTCTGCAATGTGGATGTCTGCTGAAAGTGGGAGGTGATCATTCTTCCTGGTAAGTCATTTCCCTGCAGGGCACCACTCACCTATCTGCACAGACCTTGGTGCAAAGGGCAATTGGAGGATACTTTCTCCCAGTAAAGTTTTTTTCTCCTGTTACTCATCACAGAGGTCTATCATTAGACATCACTAATCATTCTGGCACCATTTGATGTGTACTGCTCCCTGCTGTGAAAGGAAGCTGAATTCTGACTCATGGGTGCTCTCATCTACAGTGAAGCACTCACTTGCCAGCTGGCTCAGGGGCTGGGTGAGAAGAGGCCATCTGACAAGGATAAAAGGGCAGGTAGACGGAGACTTGTTGGGAAGCTGGAGACAAGTGTCTCGGGTGGATCAGTCTGTGCAGACGATTATCCAAGCTGAAGGCCAATGAAAGAGCAACTGTACATCTGTGAAGGACTTGTAGTGGCAGGTCGAACAGTGCGCATAATCCAGTTTACTGAAGATGCTGTGATGAGTTGCCCTACCACACAAACTCATCGGCTACCCATGCTCCTTTCCTTGGTTAATCAATGGATTAGTACAGCAGAGGCCAGCCCCTTTGTCATGTGTGCAATAAATAGGGTTGCCATCTCTGGGTCCAGAAATTCCTGGAGATTTGGAGGTGAAACCTGGGGGAAGACAGAGTTTGGGATGGGGAGGAACCTTGGTAGGGTTCACTCCCCAAAGCAGCCATTTCCTCTAGGTCAATTGATCTCTGTAGTCTGGAAATCAGTTGTAATGCCCGGAAATCAGTTGTAATGCCGGGAGATGATGCATATTCTGAGTGTGAGGGAGTGGCACACTACACAGGAAACCTAACAGGCTTTGTGAGCTGGTGGACTGGAGGCAGTTGAGCACAGCACTGGAGAAGCCAGCGGTAGTGCAGGCCTGGCCTCTTACCGGCATGGAGTAGGGATGATGGATATCCTGCTAATGAGGAGGCAGCTCTAAAGCGGACGGTTACCTGTCATATGGGCAATGGGTGCTGGCTCTCACAGTGGTGTCGCTTTTGTCATTAATAAGCCAAACAAATCCGGTGTGGTTTCTTAGCCTGATATTCTTCCAGTGCTTCTTGGCGACATAGCCACAGCCAGCATTGAAGTCCCCCATGAAGATGAAGTTCTGAAAAGGGAGATCATTAAAGGTAAGGTTGAAAAGGAATGATTGCTCAGTGCAGGTCACAAGATGTACGCCAGCTCTCTGAAATACAGACAACCCCCCCAATGGCTGTCTCTTACTGGCAGTTCAAAGGGCCAGAACAATAGGGGATGCTTATATTTTGATTTTGGCCCCATCTGCATCTAGCATTTGCTCTGCTGTTTTACCAAACCCACACTGGAACAGAAAAAGATGTGACTCAAAACAGCATTCAAATACCCCAGGCCAATGCCGTACTGACTGCATAGACATCCCTGAATGGCCATAAAACAGCCATAAATCTATGCAGACGGCTACCATAAAACTGAGAGATCAAACAAACTGACAGCAGCATGCAGTCGGGACACTGCCATAAAACCCGAGAATCAATCAAAGTGAAAGTGGCATGCAATGTAGAGGGGAACAGCGGAGCAAATGCTAGATGCAGACTGGGCCTTTGTCTGCATAGGCTATATATCATGGTGGAACACTTCTGGAACAGACCTACTCAAATAGTTGCTG